GTTCTCAACTTACAACCACCATTGAGCCCAGCATTTATGTTACTAAGTGAGACATGGGTTAAGTGTGTGTTGCCCCATTTTAAGACTTTTCTTGTCACATATGTTCAGTGAATCACTGCAGTTGTTAAGTTAGTAAGCCGGTTGTTAAGTGAATCTGACTTCCCCATTGACTCGGCTTGTCAGAAGGTTGCAAAATATGATCATATGACCCCGGAACATTGCAATAAATGTGAGTCAGTTGTCAAGTATCCAATGTAAATCACTTCACGGGGATGCTGCTACATCATAAGTGTGAAAAATGGTCGTAAGTCTCTTTTTCATTGAAGTTGTAACTGAATGATCACTAAATGAACTCTTATAAGAACCTGTAAAAGGTTCTTCGCAACTCCCCTGTAGACACTCTATAACCATGATGGTACGCGTGCCACAGGTGGCCTGTGGAGCCATATCTGTGGGCACACGAGCTCAGCTCCAGCGCGTGCCAGCTGATTTTCGGGCCTTCTGGGCCCATCGGAAGTCAGGAAACACACTGTTTCCAGCCTCCGCAGGGCCTCGGGTGGGGGGGCTGTTTTCGCCCTCCCCAGGCTCCTAGAAAGGCTCTGGAGCCTGAGGAAACCGAAAAATGGGCCAACAGGCCCACCGTGCCATCACGTGTCAAAAGCGGGGGGATCGTGGGGGGGTTGCATGCGCATGCGCGGGGAGGCAGGGCGCATAGAATTATGGGTGTGGGCACGTGCACATGCGACCTCCCGCCCTCCCTCCGCTTTTAGCACGTGATGGCAAAAAAATTAGCCATCACTGCTCTATACCTTCTCAAGGCAGGTACCCCTCACAGTTTGAGAAACCTTCCACTAGAGACCGTGGCCATATGGTGTCGTGATTCCTGAGAGGCCAGCATTCGTGGCTTGTTGCCCTGGGATAGCCACAAGATGTTGAAGCCTTTTCAGGCAGATAACAGAACATTCATCACGTAGTTCTGTGCAGGAATTACAGTTAAAAGCTTGTTTTTCTGCACCTGAGGAGATTTGGCACCGAATATCAAGGCATAGCCCTAGATACTTATAAATTCTATTGGCCCTGATTCCTGTTACAGCTGTCCAAGTGCTCCATTAAATAAATCCTCACAGGATGTTATGGCAAAATTTGTCAAAAGCCTTTCTTGCCGTACCTGTTTCTTTTTGAACACTGTTTCAAGACAGGTGATGTAAATGTCTGCAAATCCTATTTATTGCCTCTGTCTTCTCAGGGGGCTCAGATAATAATCTTCTAAATGCAACAGTGTTTGGGGTTTCTTAAATGTAATAGAAGAAAGTGTCATGTCTTGGGGCGGAAATAAAATATAGCATAAACTTTAATAAATCCGGTTATATGTTTTAGCTATGTAACGGCATAATAAGTCATCAGTCTTCCTACCATTTAAAGGGAAGCATCTTTTAAATAAAACAGCACAATGAATGATGGTCCTGGAATCTTTTAAATAACCTTAACTCCACTTAAGCTAAAGCATAAGCAGAGCTAGCAGGCTTAGATGTCAACCTGATCCCAGATCCCTTTAGTCGAAGAACAAACAGCCAGCACAATGCCATTGTTGGGGGAGCCCCAAAAGCCACCTGAATTTTGATCTGCTCAGTGGCCTCAAGACAGAAGTCTAACAGGTTGGTACAGGGGTGAAATCCAGCAGGTTCTGACAGGTTCTAGAGAACCGGTAGCGGAAATTTTGAGTAGTTCAGAGAACCGGCAAATACCACCTCTGGCTGGCCCCAGAGTGGGATGGGAATGGAGATTTTGCAATATCCTTCCCCCAGGAGTGGGGAGGGAATGGGGATTTTGCAGTATCCTTCCCCTGCCATGCCCACCAAGCCACACCACGCCCACCAAGCCACACCCACAGAACCGGTAGCAAAAAAAAATTGGATTTCACCACTGGGTTGGTAGCTGAGGATGTCAGAGTATTTGTTCCTGTCCCAGCAGCAACTGCATCAAATTAAATTCCGAGCTTATTATTATTGTAAGGTCTCAAAAATTGTGAGATCACTAAATCTTTTTAAAGCTTTTAGGAGTCTTGAAAATTTAGTATTTTCATGCAGGGTTTACTGCAGTAATTGCAAATCTTGAGTTTAGTAAAAAAAAAAAAAAATCCTTGAAGTTGAAGTGGATTTTGGAAAGGGGCTGTGAGAATGTTGCTATCCTATCTTAGGAAGATTGTTGTCTTTCAGCCACACACTCTATAATGGGGAAAATAAAATCAGCCTGTTTTAGACTTGGACTATATATTTATTTATTTATTTTATTTATTTTATTAAATTTGTATACCGCCCTACTCCCGAAGGACTCAGGGCGGTGAACAGCCATAAAATAAAACATATAAATACAAAATTTAAAATAGAGATAAAACAAATTAAATAAATTTGGCTGAACCATTTTAAAACCCCAATAATTTAAAACCAAATTTAAAATTCCCATTTAAAAGAGGAAAAGTTTAGGTCAGGCCGGCTTGCTGGAATAGGAACGTCTTAAGCGTGCGACGGAAGGTACGCAGATCTGGAATCCTCCGTATCTCGGGGGGGAGCTCGTTCCAGATAGTAGGTGCCCCCACAGAGAAGGCTCTCCCCCTGGGGGCCGCCAGTCGACATTGTTTGGCCGACGGCACCCGGAGGAGCCCCTCTCTATGGGAGCGTACTGGTCGGTGGGAGGCTATTGGTGGTAGCAGGCGGTCCCGTAAATAGCCAGGTCCTAAGCCATGGAGCGCTCTGAAGGTGATGACCAAAACCTTGAAGCGCACTCGGAAGACCACCGGGAGCCAGTGCAGCTCGCGCAGGAGAGGCGTTACATGGGAGCGCCACGTCGCTCCCATCACCACCCGCGCGGCCGCACTCTGCGCCAGTTCATAAATTCATAAATGCCTTGTGTCCTGGAGCCCAGTAGCTTCTGCATTGGAAAGTAATATCAAGAGGGGATACCAAAAGTGGTGGTTTTTTTCAGGAGGCAACTGGACTTACTTGTTTTTTATTTGAAGAGGTTTTGCTTCTCATCCAAGAAGCTTCTTCAGCTCTGACAGGATAGTGGGGAACGGAAGGATTTATACTCCTTGCAGACAGCTGGTCATTTGCATCCATCCATCCATCCATCCATCCATCCATCCATCCATCCATTTATTTATTTATTTATTTATTTATTTATTTATTTATTTATTTATTTATTTATTATATTTCTATACCGCCTTTCTCCCATAGGACTCAAGGCGGTGTACAGTCAAGAAAAATATAGACACACAAACATCATAAAAACATCCTTTTAGAGCAGGGGTGGACAAATATGGCCCCTTTATGACCTGTGGACTTCAACTCCCAGAATTCCTGAGCCAGCTTGGCTGTCTCAGGAATTCTGGGAGTTGAAGTCCACAGGTTGTAAAAGGGCCACAGTTGCCCACCCCTGTTTTAGAGGGTCATTGAAGCACTTGGAGGTTTATCTGTTTTCCTCAGGGTCACCTGAGGATTGTTCCTGGTTCCTGTAACTTGCAATTTTTTTCTCTGGAAATCCAAAATCCATTTCTATTCCCACCCCATTCAAAGGGTGTTCAACCCAAATTTGTATAGCTAAATGTCTGTTGAGATCAAGGAGGGATGTTTTGCAAGAAAAAGGCAATAGGGTGCACTTCATTCTTCTGTCCATGCTATAATTCCCTTTTACAAGTCATATTTCCCTTTGTCGGGATGCTAAACATCCCGAAAACTTGTATCTGGTCCCCAGCTGAGGTAAAAACCTCTGATGCTGAGCAGGGAAGAGAGATTCAGTGGTTCTCTTTGTTGCAACATAATAGAGAGCAGCATATAAGATTTCAATGCACAAGGTGACTTTGCACAGCATTAAGTTACCGTGTCTTTCAAGTGCTATTAAGAAGGCTTTTGAGGGGAAAAGGGTATCAAACACATTGAGTCCCTGGGAAAAATGTGAATTTGATAAGCAAAAGATTAAGTCTCAGCTTGCATGATTATGCATGTTTAGGCTAACATCAGTTCCTTAATTCTTTAATTATAATTTTATTATGTTTTTTTTAAGTGCGTGTAATAACAATTGAGAACAAAGGTTATAGATTTAAATTTTACAAGAAAAGCTATAGGGTTAGCTAAATCATACAAATAAAGTCGAAATGGGAATGCAAGAGAAAAAAATCTTATCATACACTATAATTGCAATATGATTGAATATGTATTTGAATAATTTCATTGTTTTCTACCATATCAAAAAAAATTTAGACAAATCGCAATTCTATGTTTAAACAATATGCACATAATCTGTATAGAATCATATTATTTGATATTTCTGCTGACTCAAAACCAGATCAAAAGCCAAGATTTCATGTGTTAGTTTAATTCCAAAATCCAGTAGGAACACGTTCTTGCAGGAGTTTTGCAAGATGTTATTCATGGAGATCAATGTGTGTTTTTACCTATAAGATAGTTAAAGACTAATGTTTAATATCAACAACTGTGTTGATATTTCGGAATATTTAAATCAACATAACGAAGAAGAAGGTGCATTGATTATTATTTTTTTTAGATGCATAGAAGGTTTTGACAATTTGAGCTGGACTTTCCTGTTTACAGTTTTGGAAGACATTAATTTTGGAGAGAATTTTATAATGGGTAAAATTGACTTACACTTCACAGAAAGCATAAATAATTGTTAGTGGAGATCTAACAGAAACATGTTAAAGAAAAATAAAAAAGGAACGAGACAAGGCTGCCCATTGTCCCTTCTGCTGATTATTTTGCTTCTTTAAACACTGAATAGAGACATAAAATGAGATGAAAAGATTGTGGGAGTAAAGATTTAAAAACAGATTTATAAATTGAGAGCTTTTGCAGGTATAGATACGGTATACTAGTATTTTTAATAGGATTGTGCTGAAATGTAGGCAAAATGGAAATTACTTCTCATAAACTGTCCTCTTTATTTATTTTCTTTATCTTTTTTTTATTCATTCATTCATCCTCTAGCCAAACCAGAGATTGTCACTTCGGAAAGACTGAGCAATGGCATGCTACTCTGTGTGGCAAGTGGATATCCTGCTCCTACTATTAGCTGGTATGTTTGCCCAGCCACTGAGCAAAGGTGAGAGATTCTAAACATTTGTTTTGATTTTGGATTAAAGGATGAGAAGTCAATACAATCCACTCTAATGTTCCATTGTGTGTTCTTTTCATGGCCTGAAACCTCATGAGAAAGTACATTTCTTGGGTTTCCATTGGAAGTGAGATGAGAAGGAAGTGCCTAAATTCACCCTACGCCACATGGTCAGCAAATTCTGTTTTCATAGAAATAATTTCCACCCCTCATGGGATGAAAGAAACAGGTTCGGCAGATAGAAGAAAAGGTTGAACTTCTGTTCAACTAATCTTGCTTGATAACTATACACCTATTTGGAAAGAAGATGTTGTGGCCCGCCAGTGGTTAGCAGATTCAGACAGTGAGGAGGTTGGGGAGGAACATGGGCCAGTCCTGGAGTCTGGGGAAGGCTCTGCGTCGGAGGTAGAGAGGGGGCCAGGGCCGTATGCCAGTTGTCAGTTGCCTTCGGAGTCAGACATCAGTGAGGCAGATGAACAGCTGGGGCCTGTTCCTGGTGTGCACAGAGTTGCAAGATGAAGGGAACAGCTGAAGAACAAGAGTCGACTTGGGAGTAAGACCACAGGTGGACGATGAATGGCCCCTCCCAGATGGAATAAAAAAGGAGCGAAAGGGGAGTGGAGTTTGCAGGAGACAATTAGTTCACTTATTCGTTCGTGACTCTCAGAGATTTCTTGTTTTGAAGATATCGGCCTGGCAGCTGTCCAAGCCAGATAAGGTCTGTGCCTGTAAATTCTCCCTTGAAAGACTTTGCTGGATGTGAATGAGAGGAATTCACAGTATCTTAATAAAAAGGGTTTTTTGCCGGGACAAGGAGTCTGCTTCGTGCTCTTGGGAAGCCTAGGTCAGAACAGAAGAAGCTTAACGGGTGCAAACCGTACACAGGAAGGACCTTTTAAATGTGCATTGCATTCATGGGAATTGGAGACACATCAATAAAAACAATCTATACAGGAGTAGAAAATGTGGTTCTGCTTGTGGTTCATTAAATGTATGGACAGGCAGTCCTTGACTTAGAGACCATTTGTTTAATGACAGTTCAGAGTTACAATTGCACTGAAAAAAGTGATTTATAACCGTCTTCTAAACTAGATCCATCGTACCACCCATGGGGGTGGGGGTGTGGTGTGTCCCCTGATGGCCATTTGAGCTCTTAGCAACTGGTCCTCGTTTACAATGATTGCAGCATCCTGCACTTACATTGTGGTCACTTCAGCTTACGACCACAATTGAGCCCCAAAACTTTTTAATAGGAATTTGTTAAGTGAGTTTTGCCCCATTTTACGATTTTTCTTGTTTCATTTGTTTACTGAATCACTGCAGTTGTTAAATTAGTCACACAGTCCTTAAGTGAATCTGGTCTCCCCATTGACTTTGTCAGAAGGTCACAAAAGGGGATCCCATGACCTCGGGACACCGCAGCCGTCATAAATGTGAGTCAGCTGTCAAGCATCTGAATATAAATCAGATGACCATGGGGATGCCGAAATGGTCATAAATGTGAAAAAATGGTCACCTTTTTTCAGTGCTGTTGTAACTTTGAACGGTCACTAAATGAACTGATGTAAGTTGAGGACTGCTTGTACTCCTATTTTCTCCACAACAAAAACCCTGTGAGGTGGGTTTGGCTGAGAGAGAGCGGCCCAAAGTCACCAGCCGGCCTCTAGGCCTAAAGTGGAACTAGAACTCACCGTCTCCTGGTTTCTAGACTGGTGCTTAACCGCTAGATCAAACTCTAATAATTGTGTAATATCTAATGTAACACAATTTTAGGCAACACGGGGCAATTAGGTTTCCATCTACACACAGTAGATTATATAGCCGTGATGGCGAACCTATGCTACGCGTGCCACAGGTGGCATGTGGAGCCATATCTGTGGGCACGCGAGCTGTTGCCCTAGTTCAGTTCCAGCATATATGTGCGCGCCGGCCTCCCCTCTCAGGAATCAGCCTCTGGGGGGTGGGGGAGGCCATCTTCGCCCTCCCCAGGCTCCAAGAAAGCTTCTGGAGCCTGGGGAGGGAAAAAAACGGGCCTTCCGGTTCCACCGGAAGTCAGGAAACGGGTCGTTTCCGGCCTCCAGAGGCTTCAGGGAGGCCTGCTAGGCCCAAAATAGGGCACGAGGGGGGTCACACATGCATGTGCAGGGGGCGGGGCATGGGGGATTGAATTATGGGTGTGGGCATGCGCGCATGACCCTCGCACTCCCGCCCCCCCACTTCTGGCACACAACGGCAAAAACAGCCATCGCTGTTATATAGCAAGTGTGACTTGTAAGATTGGAAAAAGAAAAGAGTTAACTACAAAGTAATTATCCACTTTTCTAATAAGATTGCCTGTATTTTCATTGCAGGTAATTCATTTGCAAAACACTTGCTATTTTTGATGATGTTTTGAACATTATTGCTAATTTACAGTGTTTTTCTTATCCAAAACATTTTTCAGAAGTTATTTTAATACAGTATGCCTTTTTTTTTAATTAATAAAAAAATCTATCTCAAGTTAGTTGTAAATATCTCTGGTTGTGATATTTGTAGTATATAATCCAGAGTACCATAAAGACCCTTCTGTGCCTATGTTGACCAAAATTCTGTTTACACCAGAAACAACAGTTTTTAAGAAGATCCCAATTCTGTTCGTAATAATTGTACCAGTTATACAACTGTGACCTTTTATCAGATAATTGCCTAACACTGAGTCTTCTGTCTTTCGGCCCCACAATAGATTTTGCTAATATATACTTTGGGGTACCGAATGTACACTTTGAAGGGCTCTAATCAGTGGAACAACTAATTAATCAGTGGAACAACTTGCCTCCAGAAGTTGTGAATGCTCCAACACTGGACGTTTTTAAGAAGAGATTGGATAACCATTTGTCTGAAATATTACAAGGTTTCCTGAGCAGTGGAACTGCAGGTTGCCTGAGAACGGAGTTGGACCAGATGATCTCCAACGTCTTTTCCAGCTCTGTTATTCTGGAGTTCTAATCTCACTTTCACCAACATGCCTTAAACCAGGAGTCTCCAACCTTCGCAACTTTAAGACTTGTGGACTTCAATTCCCAGCAAAGCTGGCCGAGGAACTTTGGGAGTTGAAGTCCACAAGTCTTAAAGTTGCCAAGGTTGGAGACCCCTGCCCTAAGCAATTTCTGACAGGCAGTGGACTTTGTATTTTGAAAATTAATGAAAAGAAATTAGGTTAGATTCACAAGATATAAATGAAAAAAGTTAGCAGATTTGTTGACTTTTGAGATATACCGAGTTGGATCCAGATCTAATTATAATTAGTGCAAACTCAATGAAATTAATCAGATTTAAGATTGCTATGATTAACATAAAACTATTTCGGTGAATCTGAATTAAAAGCAACCAAATCTCCAGTGGCTTCGTTAGGATAAGCATTAAAATTAGAATTGCCAAGAATTTCCAAGCAGGAATGTTGATGTATCTTAACCATGTCACTTGCCTTCTCTTGTCAGCAAGAATGGCTGGATAACTGGACATTTGTTAGGAGAAAAGGCTTGATATAAAATGTCAAATTATTAGCCCTAGGATGCTCGTCCAATAGTATTTCTTTTTTTGTTTTTCATCCAGATGATTTGGTTTTTTTTTTTCCCCAGGTGTCCAGATTCACCAAATGTTTCTCCAGTGAATGTAAAAACCAAATATAAAGATTCAACATTTTCTTCCTTCGGAAAGATAATTGTGGAGAGTACTATTGATACCAGCATGTTCAAGAGCAATAGTACAATCACCTGTGAGGCTTCCAATACCATTGATAGACGTTCAGCTTTCTTTAACTTTGCTATTAAAGGTAAATTATGTAACTTACTGTATTTTTCGGAGTATAAGACATACCTTTTCCCCCCAAAAAAGAGGGTGAAAATCTGGGTGTGTCTTATACTCCAAATGTAGCCCCACCCAGCTTCTCAAACGGAGGTTTCAGAGGCTGAAAAAAAGCATCAGAAACGAAGCTTCAGAAAAGAAGCCCTCAAATAGAGCTTCAGAAAAAATCCCCCAAACAGAGCTTCAGAGGCTTTTTTTCTGAAGCTTTGTTTTGGAGGCTTTCAGAGGCAGGAAAAGAAGATTTTCTTTTCAGAGTTTCAGAGGCAGAAAAAAAGCAAGGCATAGAACTCACAACCAAGGAACCTGTTGCTAAAATTCACTTTTGGGAACAGCTGATTGGGGGTATTCCGGGAGTCCGATCCACCTGCCAATCAGCTTTTTTTCTTATTTTCCTCCCCAAAAACTAAGGTGTGTCTTATACTCCGGTGCATCTTACACCCCGAAAAATACGGTATTTCAGAAACAGAATACAGTATTTATTCTGCAAGCTTTTGGAATAGCACTAAGGACTTTGTCAGAAATGGTCCCTTCCAACTCTGTTAATCTGTAAATCTGTAAACTTAAAGTCACCAAGTTCCTTCATGATGATGTTAACCAAAGGCATATATTTTTGTCACAACTTTCTCCATAATACTTGTTTTTTGGGGGTTTTTTGCTTGTTATATTAAGTATTCTAAGAAACATTAACATTTTTTTGGATACTGGAGAGAGTCTTTCCTGCAGGTTACCCCCAGACTATAGAATAGTGTTTCTCAACCTCAGCTGTGTTAAGATGCATGGGCGTCAGCTTCCAGAATGTATATACTGGCTGGGGGGTTGAAGTCGATGCCTCTTAAAAATGCTGAAATTGAGAATGCCTGCTACAGAATCCTTCAGTACCTGTGTTTGACATCTGCTGCCTCAACATTTATAAATCTGTAAAGACCCATCTTTTTTCACCAGCCTTTTGAAGTATTTGAATATCAATTTTAGTGTAAGCTTTAATTAATATGACTAATTTTCATATTCTACTTTTGTTTTTGTTTTTAAAGTTTGCCAGCTGTCTTGTAGACTTGCCGGAATGAAGGCAATTTATAAATAAGTGTATCAAAATTTTAAAAAACCAAGTTGCTAATAAGTTTTCATGTTTTTACATGTGTCTGTCTCTCTAGAACAAGAAAATAACCGCAGCCTTTTCACTCCGTTGTTAATCGGCTTTGGTGTAGCAGCAGGACTGATGTGTGTTATAGTCATAATCCTTGTTTATAAATATCTCCAGGTAAGAATTGTGTGTAATTGTGTCTCGTTAGAATGCCAGTTTTTTTTTCCTGCCACTGCTTTACCAGTTGAAGTACTTAAAAAAGTTGTGTCTTGTATTCCAGAAACCCAAATACGAGGTACAATGGAAAGTAGTTGATGAAATAAATGGAAACAACTATATCTACATAGATCCAACACAGCTTCCATATGATGAGAAATGGGAGTTTCCAAGAAACTGCCTCAGTTTCGGTTAGTTTGCAGATATTTAATCTCGCTGGCAATCCAATAATGCTTCTACTACCCTTCTTACATCAGTGATGACGTGGTTTAAAAATATTTTCTCTTCCTAGCCTAATTTTGATTATGATTTTGATTTACCAGTTCATTCCAGAGAAGAGCATCCATACTACGGTATATCAATACAAAGGCAGGATCAAGGGGGTAGGCTCAAGGCAGGGGTGAAATCTAAAAATTTTTCCCTACCGGTTCTGTGGGCGTGGCTTAATTGGTGGGCATGGCTTGGTGGTCAGGTGACCCGGAGGGCGTGGCCATTAATAATAAATAATAAACAAAATACACAAAACAATAAGAAGTATCAAAAACCAACTTTTACACTTTACACATACACAACACAACACAACAGACTCATACTTCACCCAAATTGGTCCCTGCAACAAGCAGGAACCTCACACAGCCACAAAAAGCTCAAAAATCAACTTTCACATTTTTTCCACACAAAATGCTACATACAGCTTTGTGAGATTTTGTGCGTTTGTGTAGTTAGAGTCAAACACTACAGAAACACACCAAATCTCAGAAAGCTGCACAAATATTTTATTTTATTTTATTATTTTATTTATATTTTTAGATAAAAGCAGCTAAATTTAAAACTTTCTTAACTTTAAATTGTCTAAAAAATAAAAAATATTCCTAAAAATAACCCCAATTAACTATTTTTTTTAAAGCTCCCCCCAAAAAACCCAAAAACCCAGTTACTTATCAAATTGAAGGCACAAGGCAGGCAGGCAGATTGACTTGCTCACCGATTGGATTGATTGCAGGCAGGCAGATTGACTTGCTAGCCGATGCAATGGATTGCAGCAGCCACAACAAGGCAGGAAAAGCGAGTGAGCCCGAAAGAACCAGCAGACTGCCAAGTGGGGACCGGGCGATTGAGTGGGCATGGGCGGGCGGGGGGGGGCAGGGATTTTTGCTACCGGTTCTCCGAACTACTCGCCTCCATCGCTAACGGATTGGCCGATCCGGTCCGAACCGGGAGCATTTCACCCCTAGATTAAGGGCACCATTGGGCCAACACAATGCCAGCTCCTTTCTTTCTGTAGATGTACCTTGAGTGTTGTATGCACGTATGAAATCAGCAAAGGTGTTTGAGCGAAGCTGTCATTTTGATGGAAGCACTGCAGTCTGTGGGTATTCCTGCCCCTATCACAGTTGCTTCTAAGAGAGAATTCTATTACAATAAGGAGTCATATTTTTTTTCAGAGTCATGGGGCCTCTCAATGTACAGTATGTCACAGAAGTGAGTAAACCCTTTCACATTTTGCAACTATTTAAGTATATCTTTTCATGGGACAACACTGAAGAAAAGACACCTGGCTACAATGTAAAGTAGTGAGTATACAGCTTGTATAACAGTGTAAATGTGCTGTCCCCTCAAAATAATGCTACACACAGCCATTAATGTCTAAACTGCTGGCAACAAAAATGAGTACAAGCCGTATATACTCACTACTTTACATTGTAGCCAAGTGTCATTTCTTTAATGTTGTCCCATGAAAAGATATACTTAAAATATTTACAAATTGTGAGGGCGTGTACTCACTTCTGTGACATACTGTAGCTCTGCAATTCTGGAAAAAGACACACTTTTTAATGAATCATAGGCAGCTTGTTTATATTTCGTGCATGGTCCTAGATTCAAGCAGATGAAACGTTCGGTGAAAAATAAAGGATTTAGAGGAAGATTGCTCTAAATTTGCTGCCCTTCTTCCCCCCACCCTTATGGAATAAATTAAATATGGCCCTATAAATATTCTGGACACTGTCCATGTATCCATGGCTGGCTGGTGAATTCTGGGAGTTGAAGTCCTCAAGTCTTAAAGTTGCCAAGGTTGGACACCCTTGCTTTAGATAGTAACTAGAATTCTTTATAATAGAGTTCTTTCTTGGCCAAGTGTGATTGGACACATAAGGAATTTGTCTTCGGTGCATAAGCTCTCAGCATGCATAAAAGGTGTAAGTGATAAATCATGCTCATAGTCATCATCAATACATTCATCATGAATCATAACTAGTATTATCTTTTTGGACTGTTGCCTTCTGGCAGAAGATACAGAACAATTAAAACTCGGACCACACGATTTCTGAATAGTTTTTATCCCAGAGCTATAATTGCATTCAACAATGAACTAAAGGGCCACCATCAGTGAGCTGTTGGACAGGATTACTTGGTCTGTTGTGTGGATGTTTGGGTGGCTTAGGGGTGGAGAATTGTGGTGGTTGGGAGTGTGTTTGGGGATTGTTATGTGTGTTGACATGGTCTTTGGGTGCTGAGTGAATTTCGTTGTATGGGTATACTGTGTATACACGTACAATGACAATAAAGACAATAAAGTTATTATCATAGTAAAGTAAGGCACATGAATGGATAAATATAGTGAAAACAGCACAAACATCTGGTTGATTTCTGAATGTCTACTCTTTGCATAATTTGTAACAATAATATTAATAAACGTTATGCTGCTAGAAATAGTAGCAGAAGGAAAAGCATTGCTACTCTTCCTGCTTACTCCTTTTCCATTGCTGCTTGCAAGTCAGTTGTAACTTCAGCAGCAGAAACAATAACCCTTAAGAAGCCTGGGGTGGAGGATGTCCCCATAGATCACTACTGGCCACTGTGCTCCTACTAATGAAGGAATGAGGAGAGAGGCTAGGCTTACTGATTCTGAGCTGCCCAAAAAACTTTCCTGCTATCTAGTGGTTTCTGACTCTTTTCTAGTGCAGATATGGTGAGACCCAATCTTAGTGATTTGCTTTGGAATCCAGAGAGCTCTCTGATTGCTTTCAAATCACCCAATTTTATACATGGTTAACTTTATTGACAATCTGTTTGGAGGAAGATTTGTGCTTACCTTTCACATGTTTTGGGACACCTCTAGGTAAGATTCTAGGAGCTGGAGCTTTCGGGAAAGTCGTTGAAGCTACTGCCTATGGTCTCTTCAAACCTGATGGGGCAACGAGAGTGGCAGTGAAAATGCTCAAGCGTAAGTTCCTTGGAATTCCTTTTGGTTTAAAATTTCTTCCTTTGGGTTTCCAAAGCTTCATATAACCCTGTATTCTTAGGGGGGGTTGCCATCTGAACCAAAGCAGACATATTATCAGCAACTGAGTCAGATACCAACATCAGAGATTTGTCTATGGAGATTCTCAGTCATCCAGGTCGTGGTTGTCCCCAAAAGTGCTTTTTCAAGGGGCCACTGGACTTCCTTTGCTTTTCCTTGAAAACATTTCACTTCTTATCAAAGTGTCAGGTTCGAGGTCGTCTCAAATAAATTGCACTAGAGTAAATGCAGCTTGAAGTGCTGACACAAAGAAGTTTCTTCAGTTCTGACTGCAGACAACATCAGAGATAGATGTCTGCTTGCTAGCAGCAAACTAGAATGGGGCTCAAACATGCGGGCTGGATCCGGCCCGCGATAGGCCACAGAGTTTGCCTGCGAGGCTGTCCCGGAGACAGCAAAGCCCCTGCCACCCTGGTCCTGACCATGGCCATCCAGTCAGCTGTGACGGCCATGCCAGACCTATGCCGGCCCCTCAAGGGCAAACAAAATCCCGACGCAGCCCCCTGATCTAGAACCTTCATTTTAGAGACTGAAGATGAACTTGGCAGCCGTATGAAGAGAGGTATCTGGTGTTCTGATCTAAGCTTCCTTAGAAAGTAAACAGCACAAATTTAGTCCCGGCAAACCCCTTTAATTCATACGGCTGTAAATTACTTTCATTTACAGTCCGCAAGGCTTGATAAACAGTCTTTCAGGGGAAGGTTATCAACACCCACCTATCTCACGTGGAACGCTGGGAAGAGCTAATTGCCAGACGCAGGGCAAGGCCAAACTTGGCACAGAGTCACAAACAGAATTTTCAACTCTTGAATCGGCCAGATGAACTAATTGCTCCCTGCAAAAGCTCACGTCCCGTTCGCTTCTCTTTTATGTCTTATGGGAGGGGCCAATCATCTCCAAGCCTTACTCCCAAGTCGACCTTGTTTCTTTAATTGTTCCTGTCTCTTGGCAGTTCTGCGGATGTGCACACCGGGAACAGTCTCACACTGTTCTTCTGCCTCACTGATGTCAAACTCCGGAGGCAGCAAAGAACTACCAGATGGCCTTGGCCCCCTCTCTGCCTCCGACTCAGAGCTCTCGTCCGAGCCTTCCCCAGACTCCAGGACTGGCCCACGTTCCTCCCCAACTCCCTTACTATCCGAATCTGCTGCCAGCTCTGCTGGCTGCTGGTGGGCCACAACATCTGGCTCTAGCTTGGATGGCAAGGAAAAAAATAGAGAAAAATAGGAAATCATGACAGCAGACTGAAAGTAGGCCAGAGATTGGCCCTATTGGAAGAAGGTTGCTTCTCTAAACTTTCCCATCCTGGTCAGCTGGAGTTCAGAAATAAAATTCCCTGAGGAAATAGCCTGTTCTTGGACGGAGAATTCCTTTCTTGCCAGTTAAAGTTCTGACAGTTCCCAATTAATAGAAGTCTGAAAACAAACATGAAACCTGTTTCATTCCCTAAATTGTGGTCTACTATGAAATGTGGCCGTGTCTGGACACAGGTAACCAAACTGAAAGCATGAGTGAGCCAAAACTGGGGTGGTTTGAATGTAGAGTATTTAAGCTCTACATTAAGAGAATAAAGAAATTTAATTTAAAACCCTTATTGTTCTTTTTATTTTTATGAGGAGGAAAGAGATTTTCCAGAATTTTTTCATGTTCCGTTTCCTGTAAAAGGGAAAACAGTAAAGTTGCCACCATCCCTCAGCATTTACTGTAAAATATCAACTGTTCTTGAAACCATTTGAAACTCAGGTTCCTTTAAAAAAAAAACTCTGAAGCTTACCTTGAGTATCACGATGGTCTCGATTAATATTCTGTAAAATTACAAAGTAGAGGAGGAGACCTTCTTTGGAGACGAATTTGCACAGCCAAATTGTCTTCCCAGTAAGGTCAATACCTGTTCTGCCCCAGCTCCGGATTCCCGAGGATATAGACACACACCAACGGTCCTTATCAAATTTATTAAGTAGCAAGAATAAACCAAAGTCTGGCAAAGGTTGGCAACCAGCCCAGAAAGCAAGATAAGACTTTTCCAAAAATGCTCTGTTGATAATTACAAGTTGTTTCTAGCAAGAAACTTACTAACTGCGTGTGACGTAAATAGGCTAAGGGAGTGGCCAATTATCCTCAAGACTTACTCTCGAGGAGACCTCCTCCTCCTCCTGAGTAGCCACTCCTGCCTTTTGGCAGTCCTGCGTGCCTGAGCATTGAGGAGAGGCTCCTCCACTTCGCTCTCTCCACTGGAAGGAGCCTCTGGAGGTTCTGAAGGCCCTGACTGAGTCTCTGCCTCTGGCACCACATCCTCTTCAGCCTCCTCGCTGTCCGACGCGAGCGCCAGCTGCGCAGGCTGCTGGCACGACACCACACCAGCCTCCTCGTTGTCGGGATCAGCCACGATCCGCGCAGGCCGCTGGCGGCCACAACAATACCCTAGTAACATTGCCTTATTTTGGAGGGACAGTTGGAGTGAATTGGGTTTGACCCTTAAAAGCTTCAAAATCAAAATATATAGTAAGACATTTTCAAAACCAGCAAATATACTTAACATATCAAAGTGAAGTTGCTTTTTGAAGTTGTGATGCCTCTCAAGGTACATAAATCAAAGGTCAGTCTGTGGTGTTTTTGAGCTTCTACAAAAGGAGGCTGTAAGATTCTGTTACTGTAAGGTAAAGGTTCCCCTCGCACATATATGCTAGTCGTTCCCGACTCTAGGGGGCAGTGCTCATCTCCGTTTCAAAGCCGAAGAGCCAGCACTGTCCGAAGACATCTCCATGGTCATGTGGCCGGCATGACTAAACACCAAAGGCGCATGGAACACTGTTACCTTCCCACCAAAGGTGGTCCCTATTTTTCTACTTGCATTTTTTACGTGCTTTCGAACTACTAGGTTGGCAGAAGCTGGGACAAATAACGGGAGCTCACCCCGTTACGCGGTGCTAGGGATTCGAACCGCTGAACTGCTGACCCGATCGACAAGGTCAGCGTCTTAGCCACTGAGCCACCGCGTCCCTTTCTGTTATTGTAACTTTACAATAAAGTTAGTGTTATGACTTTGATTTCTTGTCTGGGCTGACTTGAAAGCCGGACATCAATCTTGCAAGTCTCAAAGGACATCTCCCTCCCCCTTTGCCTTTACTTTCCAGAGAAGTAGGGAGGTTTCCTCCTGAGATGTCTGCATGTCCCTATTCTCTTTGCGGGCTGAGATGCCTCTTACCTAACCGTCACCCTGGCTGCAAATCTTCCTCTTCCTCTCTCCCTCCCCCTCCCCCCATCTCTCTCTCTCCCTCTTTCTCTCCCTCCCTCTCTCTCTCTCTCTCTCTCTCTCTCTCTCTCTCCCTCTCTCTCTCTCTCTCTCTCTCTCTCTCTCTCTCTCTCTCTCTCTCTCGGATATTCCCACAGACCATTGTATCATGGAAGGAAAGAATGATACAACGCACCAGGTGTCCCTACTGGCGCTTACAGCTCTTTAAGAGCTTGGTATATGTCTTTATTATCTTATATAGCCAATACTTGCAGTTGCAACTCTGGACAGAGAAATAAGATTCAAATCAACAGCACGAAAATAATAACTCTGATGCATTAATAATGCATAATGGCACATGATGGCACTCAAGTGTAATAAAAACCTGAATCCATCACCATCATGTCAATAAAGATCACAGTGATAGGCTCGTCCAACCTACGGGCTCCATGTCCGTTGAAGAGGTAGGAAACAGATGCAGGGGTCGGGGCCAAACAAATCTACAGGGGTTTGTTGTTCCAAAGGGCAGGCACAACAGCAACCTTAGAGCCGTTCACAAAATACTCAACACTGGTGGCTGTAGCTGGTTGCTTTCCCTCCTCCCACTTTCATACCAGAAGATACATGAAATACTGCTAGACCCTCCATTTTATTTCCTAAGACTGTTCCTGGCCTCTATTTGCTCAGAAGAATTCATGTATATTAACCTAGCTTCCCAATCATTTATTTAAATTAAAAAAACAACAACCCTAACATTATATAGGTAGGACTTTTAGCAGCTAACAGGCAATATGGGACCAGAAAACGTCTTGAGTGTCGTTTGATATTGGAATATTAAGAGCCGAGGTGACGCAGTGGTTAGAGTGCAGTACTGCAGGCTACTCCTGCTGGCTGCCGGCTGCCTGCAATTTGCAGTTCAAATCTCACCAGGCTCAAGGTTGACTCAGCCTTCCATCCTTCCGAAGTGGGTAAAAGGAGGACCCAGATTACTGGGGGCAATATGCTGACTCTGTAAACTGCTTAGAGAGGGCTGTAAAGCATGTAAAGCGGTATATAAGTCTAATTGCTATTGCCACTAAGTAATAAGGTTGTTGGTTTTTATCCTATCTTTACTGTTTTTTATACTGTAAACTCAAAAACGGGAAACCTATCTAATATTCCTTCTTCCTCCTTCCTTTTTCTTTTTTTTAATTCACTTCCATTTGCTGAGTTCCATCTTTTCTTTTTCTAGCCAGTGCTCATTTCACCGAAAAAGAAGCCTTGATGTCCGAACTGAAGGTGCTGAGTTACCTTGGTAATCACATCAATATTGTGAACCTACTCGGAGCCTGTACTATTGGAGGTAAGATGCTGACGGCATTTGTTGAGTGCATTCAGAAGAGAAGGAAGGATAGCCATTCACACTTCAGAGTTTCTAAGAATAAGGGCTGGCTATGTATTTGAAGCCAAGCAGTGACGGAAAGCTGTTTTATTTCTTCTGGGACTCGTTGTTCTGGCTCCCTGAGGAATTCATAATGTCTGTGTATCTCATAAATAAATAATCTTTTCGTTTGAACCCAGTCGGCATACTGTACTGATGGTCATCTTACTCCAAGGCTGGGAAGTGTCATAAAGACAGAATGGACATAATCCAAATATAAAAGAGGCCATCAGCGGTTCAGGTAACACAAAAGTTTGCAAAGCTTCAAATGCTAATTAGAGCAAACTCTGTGGGAAAACAGTCCACAGGCTCCCAATAGACATATAATACAGTCTTATCTTTTGTGGGTGGAGTATTCTTAGAGTGAATCCATTTGACTTACAAGAATACCGATCAGGAGCCTTCAAACTGCGTATTTCGTTGATTATCTACTGTACTATATAGTAAATAAGGCTTTATCTGTGCCTCTGTCTGTCTTTCTGCTCCAACTTGTGGTTAAAAGTTCTTTTTATGATATCCATCGCAACATAAACAAGTAATAATTTTACTTTGACAAACCTTCTAGAAGGCTAAGTTAGCAAAATATGCTTTAGGATAGTGAAGAGAATTATTATGATCTACTCGCATCAGCCCAGCATTCAATAATTGAAATTCCAGACAATATTATTATATATATTCCAATTTTTTTTAATTAGCTGACAAGCATTGGGAACACGCATCTTTGATATAAAAATATTTTGTACTATAGACAATCTGATTCGGCCATTTTTTATATATTTTTTAAAAGTCATAAGCATCTGGCTTCCCCCCACCCCCCCATTACACGAAGAACTATAATATTTAATGTTGTTTCTAACATTACTATATGAATAATAAATGGGCTAAATCAAAAGAATAAATGTTAAAAGCTTGTATTTGGAACGGAGATGTTCCTTCAGGAAGGAGTCTTTAAAATGAAGCAGATGTATCTGGTTTGCGCCATTAACACAGGATTTACTTAGTGTGTATTTATTTTTATTTATTTATTTTATTTTATATTGGATTTCTATACCGCCCTTCTCCCTAAGGACTCAGGGCGGTGTACAGCCAGATTAAAAAAACTTTCTGCACTGCAGCCCTATTGATGTGCGGGAATAATTAATTGGAAATGACAGCATTTTAATCGGGATGAAAACCCAGCTTCTGAATGGAGATGTTGCTGACGTAATTTTGCTCTGACTTTTCAAGCCAAAACACTAATCTATAGTGCGGCTTGAAAAGGCCCATTTTTGTACGCGTAGACAAATAATCTTTTTTTTTATTTAGTTAAAAAAAAAGTCTCAGACAGAATGCAGAATTCACCCACTCTTCACACTTCCTTTACATCTGCAGGTCCTACTCTGGTCATCACTGAATATTGCTGTTATGGCGACCTTTTGAATTTCCTCAGGAGGAAACGGGATTCCTTTATTTGCCAGAGGCCTGAAGAAACTGCTGTTTACAAGAACCTCCTCTATCAGAAAGAACACATGTAGTAAGGCTGTGTTGCCAGAATTGGCAGTTATTCCCAGGAAATTACAGTGCATTTTTGTATGCTTTTGGGTTTTAGAAATTTGTCCCTGTTTTACAAGCGGTGTACAGGTGGCAGGGTTTTTTTTTGACTCTATTTATTTATCAATTCACTATTCTTCAGAATTGTGTCCTGTACAGTATATACTCTGTGTGTCTTTCATGTAAGCTTTTTAAATAGTCTGGGTCCATATCCACCCAAAAAGCTGCTTTCCGTGCAAGGATGCAAATTCTGGATTAATGGTGCGCAAGTTTTCAGCACGTAGTCTTCTATCTATCTATCTATCTATCTATCTATCTATCTATCTATCTATCTATCTATTGGTTCGATTTATATGCCGCCCTTCTCCAGAGACTCAGGGCGGCTTACAATGCGTTAAGCAATAGCCTTCATACTTTTGTATATACCTGCTTAGTAGGGCTTTTGCCCCCCCACAAGCGGTGTTCTTTTTTATACAAAGTCAGCTTATTGCCCCCACAATCCGGGTCCTCATTTTACCTACCTCGAAAGGATGGAAGGCTGAGTCAACCTTCTATTGAAGAGGGAGTTTCAATTATTCTTTTGATGTTATCGTTAAGTTTTCTATACATTCATTTTGAGCTGGACAACATTTCGTTGTCTACATGCTATATATTTCAAAAAGAGAGGTAGAATGGTAGAGAGCCACAGTGCCCAGCTAATGGCAGTAGGTCAAGATCAGTGGTGAAATCCAAATTTTTTTACTACCGGTTCTGTGGGCATGGCTTGGTGGGCATGGCAGGGGAAAGATACTGCAAAATCTCCATTCCCACCCCACTCTGGGGCCAGCCAGAGGTAGTGTTTGCCGGTTCTCTGCACTACTCAAAATTTCCGCTGCCGGTTCTCCAGAACCTGTCAGAACCTGCTGGATTTCACCCCTGGTCAAGATACTTGTATAAATGGTTTCTTCTGAATAGCTGGATTGAGAGTGGAATGTATTTTTGAGTAACTTTGATGTGTTAAGCTTGAATGGAAACTTACACACCAGTTTTTTGTCTTTATTTTGTCATGAAAAAATTGCCCACTCCTGTTGTATAACCTATAGAGTCCTGTGGAGTTGGTTTCCTGATATGTCTGCATTATAGGGCAAACAGAAGCTCTGGAGTAGAAAGTTAACTTTCTAGGAAAGCATCAGTTTTTCATACAAAGTACTGATTTAAGATATTTGTAATACAGACATGGAGTATTTATATTTTTAACACAATGGGCACAGTAATCAGAGTTTAATAGCAATACATAGGGATTCTAAAGACATTTAGTATCCTCAGGAATTACAGGGGAGCATTTTTTCAGAATGATTCTGGAAGCGCCAGGGAAATCGGGAGATCCAGGCAGTTCAAATGGGTATAAAGATGTATTGCAAGCTCAAGTTCTCTACAAGAATCTGAACTACTAATGGCCCAAGCAAATTAGCGGTAGATAAGAGTCACAGGAATTCAAGGTGGGCTGGACCTAACATCTCTTGGGGGCACAAAAGACTCATGACTGATGATGCATTTGACTCCTCCCTTGGGCTCAACCTGGTCATCTGCTATAGTACCCAACCCCCGGTCCGTGCTATGCCAGAAATCAGGCTGCGCAAACAAGCGTAGCCCCATCCATGGCAGTACATGAAACCACGCCCCCTCCAGTCCGTGGAAAAACCTCTCCATGGAACTGGTCCCTCTTGCCCAAGAGGTTGGGGCCGCGTCCTACAGATCCTTTCTAAGTGGAAAAGAAGCCCCAGTGTTTTACTTTGCTTGCGAAGAAGAACTTCTGTGCCTGTAAAGAGCCCCAGTTTGCAAAATGAAACAGTCATTCAAGGAAGATGAGCTTTGATGTGTTGGTGATGGCCAGGTGCCTTGTATTAAAACAAAGCAACTTGTATGGGTTAAAAGCAAAGCAGCTTGTTGAGGTGGATCGTTGTGACAAATCCGCTTAGCTTGAGACTTACAAATTTATTTAGGAATCATAGTCCAGTTCATTTCCTTTGGGCATCTCTTCCAACTAATGGAACGATCTACCTCCAGAGATACGAGTGATCCCAGACCTCCGGACTTTTCGTCGGGCCCTAAAAATTTACTTTTTTCAGCTAGCTGGGCTGGCCTGATTCCATGTTGGTTTTAACGTCTGATACTGATTTTAATTGATATGTTTTAAATTATGGGCCAAATTCTATTTAATTAGTTTTAAATAATTATTTTAACTTTTGTGTACAAATGTTTTTATTTTGGCTGTTCAGCGCCCTGAGTCCGAAAGGAGAAGGGCGGTATACAAATTTAATAAATAATAAATAAATAAATAAATAAATAAATAAATAAATAAATAAATAAATTAAATAAATAAATTAAATAAATTAAATAAATTAAATAAATTAAATAAATTAAATTAAATTAAATAAATAAATAAATAAATAAATAAATAAAATTTATGAATCATAAATATTGTTCCACTAAATATCCAAATTATTCAGCCTCACCATGACTGTAGTTACTATTACATGGTCTCCTATCAATGTGCTAAAGAAATTCATTTCTTCATAGTTTTTTGAACCAGCCAAAGTTGGCTTGGATCTGTCAACTAGTTAGACAAGATGCAGATAGCTATGGTCAGATGCTCCAAGCAAAAAGAGAACAGAATCTTTTAATTTTTAAATTATTTTTGCCCAAAGTATATATAATATGAAGTAGAAATTCTTTCAGGAGGTTTAAATAATCAGATAAAACATTTATCAGGTCAAGATAAACTATTCCTTCTAACAAGAAATTATCTGCACACAAAAAGACCTCTAACATTACAACTTGCTGCTTTCTTATTAAATTTGTGTTATTCAAACAGAATCAGTGATAAGTCATTTCTCAGGAGGTCAGTCAATTAACAAAGGGAATTTCCTACAACAAGATAGCTTTAGGCAAAGGGGAAAGCTTTTTGGCTCCGTAAAGGAGATTAACCTTCTTCAGCCCAAATAACTTATTATTTAAACTGTCTTTTCATGATTAATTCTAAGATCCTTTCCCATAAAACGTCAGAATTCAAATATAACACTCACAGTGGTATCTTCAGTCCCGTAGTTAGGTATCATCACCTTTCATCAGGTTAATAGTAGATTTCCATTTCTTTTCAAGAAATGTGGTTATTTAGCAATCGGAGATTTTACATGCTTCTTTTGTTCTTGTAAAAAATGTTCTTTCTTTGAACTCCATTTTGAATTAGTCTCATATTCCCTCTTCTTTCCACACAGTGATGCCACCAATGAGTACATGGATATGAAACCAGGAGTTTCTCAAGTCGTCCACGCCAAGACCACTAAAAGACTAGGTAATTTGGCAAAAAAAAAGGGGGGGGGGACTTTTGTTGTGAAATTGTTGGTATTTGTTTAAACATAGCCACTTAAAATAAAAGTTAGGTTAAAAAGAAGTAAAAATTTTACAATGTTATGCTGGCTGAGGGAATTTACCACACTTTTCGGAGTATAAGACGCACTCCCCCCCCCCAAAAGTGGGTGGAAATGTCTGTGCAACTTATACACCGAATATTGCCAAAGCCCCTCCCACCTGCTGGCCCCCACCCTTTGGCCATTTTTGGCCTCCACAAGCTCCATTTTAGACCCGTTCCAGGATGCAGGGATCACTACAGCACATCGCCACCGATCGCTGCCTCCGCGCATCGCATTTTTGGCTTCCGCGTGTTATGTTTTCAGCCTCCACACACTCTGTTTTAGACCTGTTCCAGGCTGCAGGGATCCCCATAGCATATCGCTGCCTCCGCACGTCACATTTTCAGCCTCCGTGCATTGTGTTTTTGGCCTCTGCATACCCCATTTTTGGCCTCTGCGTGTCGCATTTTCGGCCAGTTCCAGGTGGCTAGCCAGATGAATATCGATGGATGCTGGTAGGCAGAGGCAGAATTGTTTTTTCTTGTTTTCCTCTCCAAAAACTAATGTGCATCTTATACTCCGGAGCGTCTTATACTTTAATAACATTAAATAGCATCAAATAAATAGCATTTATTTGAAGAGCATTTCTGTAGGACCTTGGTGCCATGCTCTGTTAATAAAATGTCTGCTCTGTTTCCAAGTGACATCATTTCTCCATTTATTGTTCCCACATGTTCTGCTTAGGGTCATTGGCTAATCAGGATGTCACTGTTGCCATTTTAGAAGATGATGAACTAGCTCTGGATGTTGAAGATCTGTTAAGTTTTTCTTACCAGGTAGCAAAGGGGATGAGCTTTCTTTCAGCTAAAAATGTAAGTAGAAAATCAAGAAAATTGATTTTTTAAAAATATATGTACAGAATGATGTTAGATTGACATATATTCTCCGAGGGAAGCCTTTCATATAAGAATTCTGTTCTTCTCTGCATTTTCAGTGTTAGTAAACCTTTTAGAGAAGTACAATCTCTGAATTATCCTGTACAATCAGTAAGAAACTCTGGTCCCACTTTTGTTTAGTCTTTGCCTTTATATTAGATAGGCAGTGTGTAGCATCAATTTTTGGGTAAGGCATCTCCAATTGCAGATAGGTAGGAAATCTGCACGTTATTCAGTTCTCTGTTATATAACAAGTTATATAACATATTGCATGTTTGGCCTCAAATATACAATGTTTTGCTGTGAGAGCCCTTATGTCACTTGAAATAAATAAGCAAAAATTGTCGATATCAATAGTCTTTTGGATTGGCGCCTGGAGAATGGCTTCTTCTATTCCTCCTCCTCCGACATCTGTGATGGTTTCTGAATTAAGAATGCCCAAATCTAAATAAGATCCAGCTTTGTGGGTTGGTGTACAAAGAAGGGGGAAATCAGATGTAACTTCTCCAACGTCAGAATCCTCTCTTCAGACTCCGAAAGAAGAAACCACCAGTACTGTGGTCCACAGTTTCTGTCCCAGAAGCAATAAGATTGTATTTTAATTTAGAAAGAGTGAACAAACGCATTCTTAACCTGAAGTTTACATAGAAGCATATGCCATTGGTTTCTACAGAATATTCTTCCGAAGCATGTTTTGACCTATAAGAGGGTTAAGAAAGGATATAACCAGTTGCAATCTTAATGATATTGTCAACTCTGAATCGAACCTGGCTGAAGCCATCCTTTGCTGCTTCATAGTTGCCACGTACTATGGGAGGAAGGATGAAGGGGAAATAGCTAGACCGTCTCGTAGACATAATAAAGAGTTCTCCCATGGGAACCAAGGTCATCCCAACAGGTGGCAGTTGGAGGAGGAACAGAAGTGACCAAGGAGCCCGCCAACTTTTTTGATTGGACAGTGTAACCTGTGACATTTGGGGAGGGAAACGTTTGCTCTTTTAATTATACTGTAACCATGGGAACTTTTTAGAGTTGGTTTTCACTAATAGTGCCAATATGATGTATCCAATAAACATGTTCTCTGAGGAACCGTCCTGCCTCGGAGTTCTGATTTCTTAGTATGCGTTATTCAGAACGCTGACAGATATGACTTGTGAATGGAAATTTGTACAAGATTGAAACATGTATTTTTTGCGTTAATATACGACAGTGATGGCTAACTTTTTTGCCATCACGTGCCAGGAAAAAAGGGGGGGGGCTTCCCACCAGAAGTTGGCAAATGGGCTGTTTCTGGCCTACCAAGGGCCTGGGGAGGGGGGGGGGAAAGGCTGTTTTTGCTCTCTCCAGACTCCTAGAGAGGCTCTGGAAGCTGGGGACAACAAAAAACAGACCTTCCGGTCCCACCGGAAGTTGGCAAACGGGCCGTTTCTGGCCTCCGGAGTGCCTCGGGGGGGGGGAGGGGCGTGCCTCCTAGAGAGGCTCTGGAGGCTAGGACAGCAAAAAACAGGCCTTCCCCACCACTCCCCAAAGCCCTCTGGAGGCAGGAAACAGCCTGTTTCTCTACTTCTGGTGGACCCAGAAGGCCCGAAAATCAGCTAGTGTACGCCAGAGCTGAGCTCACATGCCCAGTGATATGGCTATGCGTGCCACCTGTGGCACGCGGGCCATAGGTTCACCACGGATATAGGATCATCTTGCATATATAGCGACAACACGTAGCTGCTTTGCATTTTCTTAGATTCTTATACCCTTAATCTTCAAAAACCTGACTTCTGCTATAAATCATTGAAACTCTCATCATATTCTCTATGTAGTCATTTGCAGTGCTGATGATTATTTTGGTTTACTTACCTTACATGTACGTTCTGCAATTGTATTCTTTCAGTGCATTCACAGAGACCTGGCAGCAAGGAATATATTACTTACGCATGGACGGATAACAAAAATCTGTGATTTCGGCCTTGCAAGAGACATCAGGAATGATTCAAATTATGTGGTCAAAGGAAATGTAAGTATGTTTGATCCAACCTATGTCTCTCTCGGTGGTAGCATCAGACTCTAGTTTATGGACCATAAATCATACCAATTAGCTCCGTAGTAAGTGATACTTCTCTCTAAAGATCGAAAGTTTGGAAAGGGAACACCCAAAATTAGCTGTTTTTACAAATGGCTTCCCTGATAGAAACTTATTCTCATATAGTTTCCTTGATAGAAACTTCTTCATCTCTTCTTTGAACTGTTTAACAAACTGTTAAAACCATCACTGTTTGGTTTGGTGGCAATAGTGCCTCAGATAGAAAGTCCATACAGAGAGTGGTAAGGACAACTGAGAAGATTACAGGAAGCTCGCTTCCCATTGTTCAGGATGCTGCTTCTAGGCGCTATGTGCTTAGAGTGTGAAGCATTGTTAGAGACCCCACACACCCACTTTACAGCCTGTTTCTGTTGCTCCCCTCTGGGATGAGGTTTTGAAGTATTTCTAGCCGGACTACCAGATTCTATAACAGCTTTGTTCCCTGTGCCATCCATCTGGTAAACTCACAAGATTAGTTTTCCTCGCCATGTACAGGTATACATCCAAACTAGACTGTGTTGTTTCGCTGTGTCATGTAATATATGTGGGTATATGCATAATTGTATATTTATTTATTATGTCATGGTTATGTAGTGTATATTGGAAGTGGTGACCCTTTGAGAGCTGTATGTAATGAAATTTCATTTTAATGTATGCCGATTAGTGTACATTCAGAATGACAATAAAGTTATTATTCTAGTTATTCTTATTATTATTCTAAACTTGTAATCTCTTCCTGTGTATTGGTGATGCAGTTGAAGCAGATTTCTATGATAATGAAGATTCAGTTCATCTAAGGCTGGAACACAAAAGCTTGTGTTTCTTTCTTTTAGCACAGATTTTTACTGCCACTGCTTTTCCTATTAAATTAGAAGTGGGATGTAGGCATTTCACGGTTTGTTGTTGTTGTTAGTTGAGAAGTCGTGTCCGATCCATCGCGACCCATGGACAACGTTCCTCCAGGCCTTCCTGTCCTCTACCATCCCCCGGAGACCATTTAAGCTCACACCGACTGCTTCAGTGACTCCATCCAGCCACCTCGTTCTCTGTCGTCCCCTTCTTCTTTTGCCCTCAATCTTTCCCAGCATTAGGCTCTTCTCCAGTGAGTCCTTCCTTCTCATTAGGTGGCCAAAGCATTTGAGTTTCCTCTTCAGGATCTGGCCTTCTAAAGAGCAGTCAGGGTTGATCTCCTCTAGGACTGACCGATTTGATGGCCTTGCAGTCCAAGGGACTCGCGGGAGTCTTCTCCAGCACCAGAGTTCAAAGTCCTCAATTCTTTGGCGCTCAGCCTTCCTTATGGTCCAACTTTCCCAGCCATACATTGCAACTGGGAAAACCATAGCCTTGACTATATGCACCTTGGTTGGCACGGTGAGGTCTCTGCTTTTTTAGTATGCTGTCTAGATTTGCCATAGCTTTCCTCCCCAGGAGCAAACGTCTTTTAATTTCTTGGCTGCAGTCCCCATCTGTGGTGATCTTGGAGCCCAAGAAAATAAAATCTGTCACTATCTCCATTTCATCGCCATCTATTTTAATAAAATAATATAAAATATAAAATATATAAAATATAATATCTCTCTCTATATATCTATAAATATATAAAATAAAATATTTTATATATTTATAAAACAAATATTATTACACAAGCAAGAAACTTGTGTCTGAAGGCCCCTTAATAGGGACTGTGTGTGCTTGACGAAATGAATGGTGAGATCAGATATAACTTCTAGCCTCTGGCTAATTATCCACAACTAGGTTGTTTTAAATTGCAGGATAAAAGCTTGCAGGTGGGCAATAGGTAAATTGCATTCCATTTGTCTGGATGAAGAGTTTTTGCTATTTGAGTTGCCTGTGGTCAGAATAATTTAGAAAAATGGGTATTTGTAACTGGACCCAAGAAGGTAGAAGATGTTCCTTCACTCTATCTGGGCTAACCTAAAGCACATGTTAAGGAAATACTGATCCTTCTTTGAAGTGACAGGAGTCAGCATTTCATTTGGCTTTTAGCAATAATGATTCCATTCATTCTTGATATAGAATTTACCACTCTAATTTACAGGCTTTACTTCGTAGGATTAATTGAAACAGTAATGCAGATTACTTTCTGAAACTTCAAAATAAATTTATGATTCTTGCACCATGCAGTGGTTATCATTGGATGAAATGTATGAGATCCATTACAGTAGTCTGATTTAACTAAGTGTTAACTTCAGCAACAAAGTCTACAATAATAATCAATGCTTTGCTATAGAAGTTGTAACAAAGAACATGAATTGTATCGTTAGTAGCGATTAAAAAACATGGATCTATATTAGACCAATCCAAATTCCAGAGGTTTTTTTTTTTTTAATGTAGTCCAAAGAATTTCTATCCAAGATCCAACTTTTGCTGGGTTATTTAAAACTGGTTACATGGTTCCTTGGGTAATAATGTAAAGCTGAGTTTACAAGATTTTGACTTGAAAGGAATTGCAAATGGATAAAGACATGAATTTTAAATGAATAAAGATACAGAATGTATGAGATTCATGAAAACAATAACCATAGGATACAGGAAAGTTGTTTTCCTCAAAGTCTTTGGTCAGTTTAACTGGAGAATTGTGACAAATTAAATCCAATGTATTCAAGGCCATGCAATTGGGAATTGTATTTCAGATACAACTGCAATTAAACTGAATCAGGGTCAGATGAGATGGTATCACATTGTCCATCTCAAAGGAAATTATTTGCAAGAGCAGCCAGGAAAGGAATTAATTAATTAATTAATTAATTAATCCATTCATTCATTCATTCATTCATTCGTGAAAAGCAGTTTGTTAGTCACTTCTATTAGACAGTTTGAAGTTTCATGAAATCTTTGAAATAACATTTCTTTTAGTATCTTGGTGGGATTATTTAGTATTATATGGCCAATCAGTGCCCGTTTCTATTGTACTTTCCACTCTGATAGGAATCAATTTACTGCATAATTTATTAAATAATTTTTCTTATTCATCAGTAGAAGCTTTAGCTGACAAGCCAAGAAGCTAAATTTTAATTCACTGGGCTTGAAGTTAACAACATGTTTAAAAGTATTTATACAGTTCAGACACTATCCTTAATTTACTAATTTACTGACCTTCTGTCCAGGATCAAATGTGCTTGTTCTGAAAAGGGGGAGGGGGGTAAAAAAGAGACAATAATTTCCATTTCTTGTATCGCAACAGATGGTTTCAATCTGTTCTACCCATTGCTGTTACTCTTCCCCAAAGGAAAACAAGTATAAGTTCTCAGGGGCATTTGGTCTCTTTAATTGTTGAATGGGAACAACAACAACAAAAAGTTTAATTTTTAGTATTCTTCCTTTTTAATCTTTGTTATATACAGTAGAACCTCTGGTCATGCCCATAATTCGTTCCATAACTTTGGTCGCAACCCGATTCAGTCGTGACCCAAACCTAATTTTGGAAATTTGGCGCTTACATAAAAAAATGGTGCAGAAGGGGAAATCGGTCGTAAAAAAAAAAATTCTTGTGAATTTTTTGGTCGGAACCCGATTTGGTCGTGCTCAGAAGCGTTCGTGACCAGAGGTTCTACTGTATTCTTTAAAATAAATAGAAACTCAATATCTACATGAACAGTGAGTTGTTTGGGTACAATTAATTTTGAAAAATAGTAATAGTAATAATACTAATATTCATAGCATTAATGATAATCACATAATGATAATATTTGCTTATCCATACCAATAAACCTTCATTGTATAGTTGATCATTCTCTTAAACTTTTGAGTTTCTAACTTCTGTTTCTATTAGCTAACCATTGGTAAAACAAAATCCCACGTTAAAAAATATTCTGTTCCTTCCTTCTCCTTTATTTTAAGTGTTAATCTATCCAGTTTAATTTTTAGTATTCTTGTCATTTTCCTTCCGGCAACGAGGGACTGTTTTTATGATATATGTGATTACATGCAAATTTATAACAACAAGATTAATTAACAATTAATGTACTGAAAGCTAACTGAGGCATTCGATTAAATGTTTAATCCGTTGAAAGCTCTATCAAATCACTCTTGATTTTCACCTTGCGCAGGATAAGATCTTTTATCGATTATTTTTTTATTTTTTTTTGTAACAAGTTCTTCCTTCGTCTCCCCAGGCACGGCTTCCTGTGAAGTGGATGGCCCCTGAGAGTATTTTTGAATGTGTGTACACCTTTGAGAGCGATGTTTGGTCTTATGGAATTCTACTTTGGGAACTCTTCTCTTTAGGTAACATACACCTGGTGATCACGTATGTCCTTTATACAGGTAGTGTTGTGGCCTGTTGGCCACCGGCCCCTCCAGCAGCCGAATCAGAGAAGGAAGAGGTGTGGGAGTCAGTCAAGGCCAGCATCAAGGCAACCTGAGAGCTTCAAGGGGGAAGAGGGAATGGAGCTGTCAGAGAGAGAGAGAGGGAAGGAGGGAGAGAGAGAGAGGGGGGGGCTGTCCATCAGCCCTCAGATGGAGAGTCAACAGCCCCCAGGTCTGGAGGTGGCTGATGAGGAAGAGGAGGAACAGCTGAATCCGATGCCTGATGCGCAGAAGGGAGAGGAGAGGAGAGGAGAGGAGAGGAGTGGAAATCTATGGGCTGGTCCTTGGAATGGAAGAGCCACCGCTGCTAGCGAAGCCCCACCCTAGCTCTGGGGATAAAAGGCAGGGGGCGGAGATGAATAGATGTGGCGGACAACTATTCATCTCGCTGTTGGATAGACTTGATAGCCTGCTGTGTGAGAGAGACTTTTTGCCAGGGCTGCTGGCGCTCCTAATAAAGGAAACATTTATTTAACTACAGAGGATTTGTCATATTTGGGAGCCGGGTTAGAACAGGTAGACCTCGACTTACAACAGTTCATTTAGTGACCATTCATAGTTACAACTGTGAAAGAAGTGACGTGACTGTTTTTCACACTTACGACTGTTACTGATGGTTTCAGTGTCCCAGGGTCATGTGATTTCCCCTTTTGCACCCTACTGACAAGCCAACTCAATGGGGAAGCAAGATTCACTTAACAACCAGGTTACTAATCTAACGATTGCAGTGATTCACTTAACAACTGAGGCCGTAGAATGAGGAAAAACTCACTTAACAACAGAAATGTTTGGGCTCAATTGTGGTTTTAAGTCAAAGACTACCTGTATACGCATATATACATATATTATCATGTCCTGTTGGCAAGAAAATTCCAGCTTTAATCCTTCAAGAAGGTCAAGGGGAAAGAAACAAATGGCGACCATTCTCAATCCCTATACAGGTAGTCCTTGACTTACAACAGTTTGCTTAGTGACCATGCTAAGTTACAACAGCACTGAAAAACTGACTTACGACCATTTTTCACACATACGACTGTTGTAGCATCCCCATGGTCACGTGATCAAAATTGAGACATTAGGCAACTGATTCCTATTTATGACGGTCAGTGTCCTGGGGTCACGAGATCCTCTTTTGTTCCCTTCTGACAAGTAAAGTCCATGGGGAAGTGAGATTCATTTAACAAACCGTGTTACTAACTTAACAGTTGCAATGATTCACTTAACACCTGTGGCAAGAAAGGTAAAATGGGAAAAATTCACTTAACAAATGTCTCACTTAGCAACAGAAATTTTGGGCTCAGTTGTGGTCGTAAATCAAGGATTACCTGCATTCGTTTCCTGGATGTTTTACCACTCTCATTTTTAAAACATAAATCCGTTTAAAATAGAGTCCGCTGGAACGGGTGGTTAATAAACACAAGTAAACATGGAATTAAAATTATATACTAATTAATAGCATCTTTTTTTAACAGGAAGCAGTCCCTATCCTGGAATGCCTGTGGATTCCAAGTTCTATAAAAACATCAAGGAAGGATACAGAATGTTTAGTCCAGAATATGCACCTCCAGAAATGTGAGTCTAAATTTATTTAAAATTTAAAAACGCCGATTTGTTGTGGCCCCGCCCTCTGAGCCTATCTCATCGGAGGAAGAAAGCTCCGAACATGAGGAAGTGGAGTCAGCCAGGCCTCCCTCTCCAGGCCCCTCCCCTCTGGCACTGTCTCAGGTGCCGGCCGAGGGAGAGGAGATTAGCCAGGAGCCAGGTGTCTCGGATGAGAGCGAGGAAGGAGAGCCCTCGTTCCTGGATGCATGCCAACGAAGGCGTGATAAACGGTTGCAGCAGTTAAGGAGGCGTGCTAGGGATTAGAACTGAGTCACTGGACCACACCCCAGAGACTATATAAGAGAGGGTGGTGGCTGGTAAAACTCCGTGACGAACAAAAACGAACTTTGGCTAGTCACTTGAACAACATCTGAAGCTGCCGAAAGGGATATTGTTTTGCTGGACTATTTGCAATGCGTATGTAATTTTATGTTATCTGTTGCAGTAAAAGCTCTTGGCAGACGGTGATTATATTGCTGCCAAGTTTGAGATAACAACCTGTGTGCGTGCCAAGCACTTTCTTAACCCTCAGCTGGCTGTGTTTGTGTGTGTGTGTGTGGACGGGGACAGATCACGATTATCCAATATTGGTGGAAATACTGGTTTTATTTTATGCTGTTTTTTCAAAAACTTTCAGTAGCAGACTCAACCGTAGGTCCCGTCTCGCGTTTTTATATATTTGCCAATTTTGTAGAATTCCGTTTGAATTGATACCGGGGAAAAGAAATGGAGTTACAAAAAAAAAAAAAAAGCCTCCAAACAGAGCTTCAGAAAAAAAAAAGCCTCCAAACAGAGCTTCAGAAAAAAAGCCTCCAAACAGAACTTCAGATGCTTTTATTCTGAAGCTCTGTTTCAGAGGCAGGAAAAGGTTTTTTCTGAAACGGAGTTTCAGAGGCTTTCAAAGGCAGAAAAAAAAAGCAAGGCACAGAGCTCACAACCAAGGAACCTGTTGCCAAAATTCACCTCTGAGAACAGCTGATTGGGGGTATCCCGGGAGGCAGATCCACCTGCCAATCAGCTTTTTTCTTATTTTCCTCCCCAAAAACTGAGGTGCGTCTTATACTCCGGTACGTCTTATACTCCGAAAAATATGGTAATAAAATAAGTTCAGCTCTTCCAGAGTTCCTCACAGTTTACTTCAAGACCCATGCAGACTGTGATACTAGCATTCATTTGCATTGAGAATTAAAAAAGAAAAAGAAACGCATATACAATTCCAGCATGCTCCATAGCAGAATTCTTTCAGTTTCCAAGAAGTGTAATATAAAAGCACAACGATTATCCTTTATCTACTGCTGTATGACAAATGGGGGAGTCTGGGATTTTAGACACCCATTGTATTTTTCAGAGTTCTTTTGAGAAGGCATTTTCATGCTTTCGGCAATTAAACTAATGGTTTGTTTTGGGGAAAAAATGAACCAAACTGCATGCCTGTGAATTTTCTAAAAGTTTCTAAAAACGTTTTCAAAATTACGGTGGATGTTTTTCATTTGGCTCATTCTAACTGTCTGTAGCTTTAACATCATGAAGAGCTGCTGGGATTCTGATCCTGTGAAGAGGCCAACTTTTAAGCAAATTGTACAACTGATTGAACAGCAGATCTCCGACACCACAAGTCATGTAAGTATTGAGTATTTCAGCTTAGCTTCCGAAGGGAGACTAGGGTGTCGACATAGGGCAGGGATGGCTAACCTTTTTGCCATCGTGTGCCAATAATTCCTCTGGAGAACTGGATCAGCAGCTCCTTGCGCAGTTTGAGCTTCCTGAGTTGGCTCAGAAAGAACATTCTTTGTTGTGCTTTTTTGATGACGCTTTTGATGTTAGCTGTCCATTTTAGATCTTGCGTATGGTAGAACCTAGAAATGTGAAGGTCTCTACTGTTGATACTGTGTAGTCTAGTATTGTGAGATGCTAAGGATTCTGGAATCAATTTTCAGCCAAATTTCAATAAGCTACATAGAACTTTACAAATTAAAAGGTGGAATTAAAAATTGAATGATTTATGCAAAGTTCCAGCAAAACAACTGTGCACCTACAATTCTAAGCTTTTATCCCCTAGAGTAGTTTCAGCGCAGTGTGGGTCGCATAATAATGAAATGCTTGGCTGTTCTATTTGAACTAATTTCATTGCCAACTTCAGCCACACGAAAAAAGCAATTGTTTAATGCACAACACAAATAATAGTATAGAACAGTGCATCATTTCTGCAATAAACTAATAGTCATCAAGGAAGTTAAAAGTAATGGTTAATTTCCCTATGGACAGATCATATCATTAATCTTTGTTAATGCTTGCTTTTTTTTTTTTAAATTGCCCAAGGAATTTTGTAATTCAATCCTTTTGAAACTAGTTGTTTCCACTTAAATTGTTTTCTGGATATTCTTCAAAAGTTAGGAATGTCATGGTTTTCCCAGTGCAGTAGTACTTTAAGCAGCGTTCATCTACTCTATACATTATTTTAAATACATTGGGGTCAGGGGTGGTTTCTAAATTTTTTTACTACCGGTTCTGTGGGTGTGGCTTATTTTGTGGGCGTGGCTTGATGGTCATGTGACCATTCTTTAGGATTTAGCAGAGGTACTGGTCTACCAGGCTTTCAACTGCTTACAGAGCTGTACCGGTTTACTTATTTGTTTTTGGAGGCACTGGTCTACCCATTTATTTTTGCAGGCACCCGTCTACTCATTTGTTTTTGGAGGCACCGGTCTACCACCAAACTGCCTTTTACCACTGATCCGCTGTAGGGCGGCCCTTTGAAGCCCCGTGGCAAGAGTTTAAATAGTTTTTTTCCTTCTAGCCAATCAGCTGGGACTCAGGAGGCAGCAATAGATTGGGGGTGGGGCCAAATAAAAGGTAAGAATGGGACGGGGGGGGCAGAACCGGTTCGGTGATGTCATATCGTCACCGCTACCGGCTCGGCGGAACCGGGAGGAACCCACCACTGATTGGGGTCTTACTGCATTTTGATATTCTACTAACCTAGTCTTGATCATATTTCTTTTAATCCTTTCCTTAAATATTTTGCAGTTGTTTATGGCAGATGTCAGTGTTTTCCTGATGTGAATTTTAGTATATTGACTAGATGTTTTGCCACTTGGTGGATTGTTCCACCAAGTGATTGCACCAATTGAATGCAGACTTCTGGTTTGTCAATATTTGGCAGGCTATAGCGATATAGGGACTTAATCATCCATGATTGGTACTGACTTTTCCAAATCAATTTTGTCCATGAGCAACTTTACTTGAGTCTTGGTGACTGAATCGGATGGCTTGAATGTCCCATCCGATCTGGCATGAGATGCATGCTACGTGTCCCATCTGTCAGGGAACTGTATTCGGGGCCCAGAAGGTGGTCCTTCTCTGCCACGGCATCCATTTTATGAAAAATTCTCCTCACGCTCTAAGTGAGATCATTTCTGTCCCTATAGATTTTCTAGAAGTCTCTCAAAATCTGGCTATGTCATCCGGCCTAGGAGGTCGTTGATATCTTGAGGTGACTCCCTTGCTGATCTAAACTCTTGCGTGGTTGGGTTTTTGTTTAGCTTTTTAATAGGACTGTTTCCGACATGTTCTTTTTTAAAAAAATATTTTTTCATCATATATCACCCAGAGTGACTTCTTGAGAAATGGGCGGCCATATAAATTTAATAAATACGTAAATTTTTGATGGATCCTATACTAAATTGTCCGTATTGGTGTCATACTCTGATTTACCAAGGATTATTTTTGCTCCTGTTTTGTCTGATGCTGGTAGGATCATATTCTCATTTGAAGGCACAGATTTCAGCTGGGTTCAGCTGTTTCGTTTTGCCTTGATGCATCTGTGATTTTTCACATTTCACATTTGAAAGTCTTCTCTTTGTTCCTCAGGGAAGAAGGAAGTGTGAAAACTGGGTGTTAAAACAAGTAGAATCCCTTTGAAAGCGTGTGGTTATTTTGCTCCCATCGTGACTATTTTGTTTGGGTTCAGTGTTCACAGTTCCTTTTGGTGTCAATGTGTCACATGGCTTTTTTAACATGACTGAAAATGGCCAGTGAAGTAGATTCCAATCAGTGTATAGGCTGATGGGTCCCAAACCTCTGGTCTGTGGCCCAGTGCCGGGCTATGGCCCATTTGGAACTGGGCCGCACAGGCAACGGGCAAGCATACAAAGCTGCATTTGTGCATGTGAAAATGAAACCATCCCCTCTCCACCACCACACACACACACCCCGCCATTGTCAGTCCGCAGAGCTGAAAAGGTTGGGGACAGGGCTGCTATTCAGCAGGTTCTGACGAACTGGTAGCGGAAATTTTGAGTAGTTCGGAGAACCAGCAAATACCATCTCTGGCTGGCCCCAGAGTGGGGTGGGAATGGAGATTTTGCAATATCCTTCCCCCAGGAATGGGGATTTTGCAGTATCCTTCCTCTGGAGTGGGATGGGAATGGAGATTTTGCAGTATCCTTCCCCTGCCACGCCCACCAAGCTATGCCCACCAAGCCACACCCACAGAACCGGTAGTAAAAAAAATTTGAATTCCACCACTGGTTAGGGACCGTTGGTATAGGCCACATCTAGACCAATAGCATTTCTATCATTACTTACTTGGGAATGAGAAAGACTGTTGCAAGTCACTAAGATTTTATTTTATTTAGAGATAGACCTCGACTTAACAAAGAGTCTCATGGTCGTTTTTCACACGTACGACCATTGCAGCATCCCTATGGTCACATGATCAAAATTCAGATGCTCGGCAGCTGGTTCATATTTATGTTCCGGGGTCACATGATCAGCTTTTGCGACCTTCTGACGAGCAAAGTCAATGGCAAATCCAAATTCAATTAATAGCCGTGTCATTAACTTAACAAATGCAATGATTCTCTCAAGAACTGTGGCAAGAAAGGTCGTAAAATGGGGCGAACTCACATCAATTTGGGGCTCAATTGTGGTCGTAACTCGAGGACTACCTGTATTCCGTGTTGTCTGTAACATTGCTGGTACTTTTTAAGGAATTTGACACAGCCCATTTAGGGGAATCCTCAATTTACCCTGTTACTCACTGTCCTGGTCATATCAGCTTTGTTTCCAATATGTGCTTCGATTCCATTTGATTCCATTCCATTCCATTCAACTCCACTCCACTCCACCCATCAATATCTATCCATGTCTGTCTGTCTGTCTGTCTATATCTAGCTATCTCTATCATCTGAATCTATCAGCTCTGTCATCTATCCATCCATCCATCCATCCACCCACCACCCATCCCTCGGTCCATCCATCCATCCAAATCTATCTATCTACCTACCTACCTATCTACTCTGTCATCTATCTATCCATCCATCCATCCATCCATCCAAATCTATCATCTGTCTATCCATCCATCCATCTATCTATCTATCGTCTGTCTGTCTATCCATTATTTATTTATTTATTTATTTATTTATTTATTTATTTATTTGTCATATTTCTATGCCGCCCACTCTCCGAGGACTCTGGGCGGCTTACACCAAAGACAGTATACTAAATAGCATATTGCCCCCAATAATCTGGGTCCTCATTTTACCCACCTCGGAAGGATGGAAGGCTGAGTCAACCTTGAGCCGGTGAGATTTGATCCGCTGATCTGCTGAACTAGCAGTCAGCTGAAGTAGCTGCAGTACTGCACTCTAACCACTGCGCCACCTCGGCTCCAATCCAAATTGACTGATTCATATTTATGAATCAGTCAATCAAATTTGTACACCCCTCCATCTCAGCTAAGATAACAAACAAGATAACATACAGAATATAAAATCAAACCTAAAAGTGTGGTTAAAAACAAGGGAAAAATTTACAAGGGAAAAATAAAAATCAAAGTTAAACAACTGCTTAACTGCTTTTTTTTTTCTTCTACTTAATCAGTTTCGATGCCTACATTACCTTCATTATTCAGGATTTTTCTTTTTCTCCAAACAACTTTTAGCTGCAGGTGGTCATTACTTAACCACTTCTTCAGCAACCTTTCAGGCTTAAAACAGTGCTGAGGAAGTGGTACTTAATGACCGCTCTTCAAAGTTCAGGCCACTGTGCCATTTCTCTGGTCACATGATCCCAATCCAGACATTGAAATCTAAACAGGTGTATTTAAAGGTGAATACAAAACTGTTCCTTTAATATCTGCAGCTCTGAGCATCTCTCTCTCCTCCCCTCTCTCTCACTCTGTATATCATTTAATTGACGGTTGAATTAAACACTATTAATTTTATAGATGGAAACTGTACTTCTCTCAAAACTAAGAGGACACATCCTTAAAGTAAAATCATTACCTCCGTAAAAAAAAACAAGCAATGTTGAGTTTATCACAGTCAGAATGAATCAACATCACTTATTGATTAGCATTGCATACATCCATCAAAATGAGAATATGTTTGTTGATTGCCTCTCACGATATGGTAATTGAAATCTCCATAAAATGTAGATATGAAGCAAAAAAAAAAAATCATAAATAGAATCAATATTCCGAGCAAGCAAAAAGCAGTCACTAAAATTACGGTGGCTTGAGCTTTTAAAATACACTTTTATCAGATTGTAGAAAGCTAGACGGCATTAGCTTTTGCGGATGAGATACCAAAAAAAAAAATTGTATAGGTTGTTTGGCGTTGTGTCCGAGAGACTGATTCTAATTTCTGTCTTTTCCAGATTTACTCAAATGTTTCAAACGGCATTTGTAGTCAAGGAAATGCCACAGATCACTCCGTAAGAATTAACTCGGTGGGTAGCAGCGCTTCGTCTACTCAGCCGTTACTCACACACGAGGACGTTTGAAAACAGACTCAACTCATCTTGCTGGAGAACGTACTGTTTCAAAATGACAATCTGTTGCTCTAATGGTAGTAGAAGTACTGCAGGAGTTGCTCTGTGCTGCTTTCTTTTTAATCACATACAAAATTAGACTGCCCCATGACAGCTACACCATTGTTAACACTGCTTGCTAGGATTTGTATAATTGCTATGTTATAGGCAATGGTAATGTAGAATCAGATTTGGGAGTGGGAAATAGCAGTTTCAAAAATGTATGGATTGTTGTTGTTGTTGTTTTAAAAAGAGCATCGTACAAAAGGCACCAGAATACCTGAGCCCAAAATGCTGATGTCTTGAGTGTGGAAGAGGAAATATTTGAGAAATATCCATTATCCAAATCTTAAAGGGTTAGAAGTGAAAGCAAAACAAAAAAACTGACATTCCAAGAACAAGGAGGTAACACTCGGTTGAGAAATAAATCTTGAATGACCATGGAACAGAACTTATTTTTAGTAGAAAGTTGAGGGACTTATGGCTGTGAAGCAAGCTCGTAGTCATGGATGTTAAAATTATAACTTTTTGGAGAACCACAGATTCCCTAGCTTTGAGTTACTGCTTGCTTGTTCAATATTTCCAAATGTTTCACTCTAGGCCAGTTCCCCAACCTTGGCAATTTTAAGAGGGGTGGACTCCGCTCTCAGAATTCTCCAGCCAGCTTGCTGTCTTGTCTGAGGAATTCTGGGAGTTGAAATCCATACCTCTCAAAGTTGCCAAGATTGAAGAAAAACCGCTTAAGCAGAAAATATATAACATGAGAGGGACAAAAAAGAATTTACCTGCCTCATTTCTTCTACAGGGTTCATATTCCAACAGACCTATTTTCTGTACCGTTTTCTCGTTGCTTTTTTTGTCTATGTTCAGGGCTGGGCCTGCAACTATCAGATGGAACCACTAGGTGTCAGCAGAGAGTTTTAAGAGTTTTCCATGTCTCTTTGCTGCCGCTGAGTGGTGGTTCAGAACTTGCAGCTCAGATACGGTAGTCCTGATGGTTTCCCGCAGCATATATTGGGAAGAAAAAGGAAAAAAAAAAAAAAAAAAAACCAGACTGTCATATGATGGTTTCCATATTAACAAAGTATCTTCATTTGTAAGAGAGTGTAAAAAATGTAACATCAATTATGGTGGATTTCTCAGCCTGGTGAAGACACATGTCTACTTGTGTTTCAAAATAAGTAAACTCCATATATTCTTTGTGTAGCTCCTGTAGATTGAGTGAAAAGATGGCTCACTTGTTCAATTTGTGTATATGTGTGACAGCGTGTATTTAAACCAGTCGAATATATTTGATAAAACTCCACAAATTTTTTATCAGGAGGGCATTTGCCTATACTTTGAAAAATTATTAGAGGTAAAGCATTTCTTAGTTACACCTGGGAGCATCTTACTTACCTGTGTTACTGGGTATCTGGGTATGTCAGCATTGAGAAAAATAACTAATAACATGTTAAAATCATGTTATTGGCAGGTAAACAGCAGCTATGTGTACCCATTGTTTGTTTGTTTTTTCTGAAAGTGCAAAACATCCGGGGAAGACTTCAGAATAAACCTCCTACCAAATTCTAAAGTATTGATTCATTTAGACTGCACTAGGCCTCTCACAACCTGTTATTTACACTTACTGTATGGTTACATTTACATATATTTCTGATAAAAGCAATTATTTGACCTATTGCAATGTTATTAAATACTTCTCCAAATGCAAGATAATTAAAATGCACTCCTAATGTGCATTTTAAGTGCCATTAGCCTTTTGTCAGTAATCTGATCTATAATTTAGCATTCTTCTACGTTGTTTAGAGTTAAAACGACCGAAGTGGGCCAGCCAGTTTTATAGACGCTTGCACTGGAGATGTTATACTGTTGCACCTTTCCAAATTTTGCCAGGGTTTGGAGGGGAATGGCTTAGTCCAAGCTCCCTATCTGCAGAGGATTCCCATTCTCTTCTGTGAAGGGAACAGACTTCACACGAATACTATGTTCTCCTTGCAACACGCAGTAGAATACCTTCGTATTCTGATCAAGGGGAAAATTCTGCAAAGTATTTGTGCGTACATCCAAACCTTACCTGCTCAGTGGAGCCATTGGACCGATCGTTCCAGCTGAGGGGGCTATGAGAGCTGAAGGTCTACCTTACCTAGATGGCACCATTGGAGAAGGCTGCCATTAGCCCTGTTTTCACAGTCAGTACACATAAAAGGCACAACAGGTGTCACTGTACAAGAGTGTATGAAAGAGATCCTCCTCCTTATGTAAATCAGCACTGGTAGGCTTGGAAATGTAGGATTGGAAACCTTGCAAAATAGATTCCCAGTTGCATGGGAAGAATCTACCTATTCCCTCGGTGAACCACAACACAGGTTTCTTCAGCCATGCTCCTCACTCCGTAAGACTAGAGCAGGGGTCTCCAACCTTGGCAACTTTAGGTCTTGTGGACTTCAATTCCCAGAATTCCTCAGCCAGCCGAGGAATTTTGGGAATTGAAGTCCTCAAGTTGCCAAGGTTGGAGACCCCTGGGCTAGAGAATGGGAGCACAGATGGAATTCTGCTGTCTTATTTCTCTGACTTTTGCCCGTTCGACCAGATCGGAAGGAAGGGAGTGGGGGGAGCCCTACACAATTTGAATAGGATCTAGTCCTATCTTGAAATTCCCAAATTACAATACAGAGCAAAATCCACATTTATTCAAGATGCGAATGTATCTTTCCTTACAATCCTCCCAGAAGTCAGAAAGATAAGGAGCAGATCCTTCTTTTTACCCAGATATACTCATCACACATAAAAGCAAATCTGAGGAGAAGTAGCATTTTAGTTGAATGGGTAGGAGATAAGAGAGCTTCCCAAGTTCGATGTATATTTCTGTACAGAAGGTGAAAACAGGGCTTGAGTCATAAACTTTTACCTTCCTAAAGCTTTTAAAGCTACCAGAAAAACGCTCTCTGGCTTTTATAGCGGTTATTCGGAAAATTGTAATAATTATAGGCACAGCGGTACTTCATTGGCACTTGGATGATTTATTTTTTTTCCTTCTTTTTAAGAGTCTCAGAAGCTATATTTTTATAATTTTGTTTTTGTTCAAATGTAGTTTATGCAGCAGCTTCAGATTTTTAAATTTGTTTTGTTTGGTTGTATTCTCATGTCAATGCTAAACTGTAGCAATAAAGTCTTCTCAACTCTTAGGTTCTTGAGTTAAAAATATTTTTATATAAATATATATATATATATATAAATATAAATATATGCACAGTGCCTGTATGTATAAATACATGGATGTTTGAAAGTTGTATTGTTGAAAAGTTTAAATAAAGGTGTAAATAAGACATATCCATTGACAAGTTCTGTGAGATATTTTAATATACATAGAATCCAAGCTACAGATTCTGCACAAATAAATAAAATAAAATAAATAAATAAGGGAACCTTATCAACAGCCACTTATTGGCACAGATTGTGGTAATTTACAAGTTTCATGGTAACCTTTAATTCTTTCAGAGTGTCTGTGGGGAAGGGCTCAGGTCGACATAGACCTGCCCTGAATTGTGAATATAGATAACATACAAATAATTCACAAATGACATGAATTGTGCAGTTTGTGGGATGTGTGACAATACCAGGTGATGACCTAACGTTTCTACCAAGCACTTGTAATTACAATTATGTCAAAAGAACTAAGATATCTCTCACTTTAGAGGACTTAATAATTTCTTTACTAAATAATATATCAATAATAATTAAAGGGATGTTAGGCTTCACTAAAATGTAAGTGGAATAATATATGCTTATATATACTAATGACACTGCCAATACTTAGCACAGCCAAACTTCACAATGAAATCTTGTTTTTCTACATTACCAAAGGCCTACCAGAAGCTTGCGTATATATAATAACTAGCTGGACACCCGTGCTTCGCTACGAAACTATGTGAGTGGGGGTGATAAGACTTGGGGCCAGTCACTCTCAGTCCTAGGATAATGACAAACTACTTTTGGGGGCGGAAAACTGCCAGGAAGACTGCAGGGACTTCTCCAGTCCATCTCCAGTAGTTAACAGTCACTTGGTTTTTAAAAAATGACCAAAAAAAAAATAATAATAATGGTGAAAGATGAGGAAAAGGTCCCCTCTAGAGCTTTCTGGGAGCAAATGTGGATATTTCACTGCCACGGAGGCGTGGTACAATACAAGGCAATCAACAATGAAGTCCAACGAATGCTAAGACACATCCAGTTGTGCGGCTTTCCAAAACCAGAGCAGATTGCGTAGGCATAGCAGGAGTTCGGGCGGCTCCAACACTGAAATTTCGTCTGCTGATTTTATGAGCTGCACGTTCTTCATCGCAGATGTTACGCGTTGCTGTCATAAGCTCTGAAAAACAAAATGTAATAAACCTGACTCCAAATGATTCACAAAGCTAATGAGTTGCTATTGTCTGCTGCAAATTGCATTTTGCGTTCTGTTACCAACATACGGGGTTTCCGTGAGGGATCACATATCTGGTTCCTTAACAAGTTTTTTTTAAAAAAATAATATTTTTTTTTAAAAAAGAATGGAGAGCGTTTAAAGATGAGAAGCATTAAAAAGTTATTTCATAAATTTCACTGACATGAAGCAACAGATCTGCAAACACCTAGAAGCAAACACCTAAAGCATAGGTTATCTGGTTATCACCTTTAAAGGTGGTATCTGGTTATCAACTTTAAAGCGCTCCATGGCTTAGGACCTGGTTATCTACGGGACCGCCTGCTACCACCAATAGCCTCCCACCGGCCAGTACGCTCCCATAGAGGGGGCTCCTCTGGGTGCCGTCAGCCAAACAATGTCGACTGGCGGCCCCTAGGGGGAGAGCCTTCTCTGTGGGGGCACCTACCGTCTGGAATGAGCTCCCCCGGAGATACGGAGGATCCCGGATCTGCGCACCTTCCGTCGCGCGCTTAAGACTTTTTTATTTCATCAAGCTGGCCTGGCCTAAATCTTCTCCCCTTTTTAAATGTAAATTTTAATTTGTTTTAAAATTATGGGGTATTTTAAATTCAGCCAAATTATTTAATTCGTTTTTAATTTATTTTAAATTTTTGTATTTATGTGTTTTATCTTGTGGCTGTTCACCGCCCTGAGTCCTTCGGGAGAAGGGCGGTATAGAAATTTAATAAAATAAAAATAAATAAATAAATAAAATAAATATAAAGAATGATTACAGGAATTGGGTATGTCTAGTCCAGTGAAAAGAAGGACTAGGGGTGACATGAGAACAGAGTTCCAATATTTGACGGGCTGCAACGAAGAAGAGTGGGTCAACCTATTCGCCAAAGCACCAGAAGGCAGGACAAGAAGCAGTGGATAGAAACTAATGAAGGAGGTAAGCAACCTAGAACTAAGGCGAAATTTCCTAACAGAACAATTAACCAGTGGAATGAGTTGCCTTCAGAAGTTGTGGGTGCTACATCAGTGGAGGTTTTCAAGAAGAGATTGGACAGCTATTTAACAAATTAAGAAGGTTGGAAGGGACCTTGTAGGTTTTCTAGCCCAACCCCCACCCCCACCAAAGCAGGAGAGCCTACACCATTTCTGATAGATGGCAGTCCAGTCTCTTCTTCAAAGCTTCCAGTGATGAAGCTCCCACAACTTCCAAAGGCAACTTCTGTTCCATTGGTTGATTGTTTTCACTGTCAGAAAATGTCTCCTTATTCCTAGATTGAATCTCTTCTTGATCAGTTGCCATCCATTATTCCTTGTCTGTTCTTCAGGTGCTTTGGAAAATAGCTTGACCCCCTCCTCTCTGTGGCAGCCCCTCAAATATTGGAAGATTGCTATCATGTCTCCCCTGGTCCTTCTCTTCACTAGACTAGCCACACCCAATTCCTGCAACCGTTCATCGTATGTTTTAGCCTCCAGTCCCCTAATCATTTTGGTTGCTCTTCTCTGCACTTTTTCTAGAGTCTCAACATCTCAACCTTTGTCCAGAATGCCTGTGGCTTGGTTTTTCTATTAGAAGAAATTTTTGCCACATCCTTTTCTTGACGCTTTCCGGTTCTATAAAGGAAGATCTAATTGGACAGCATTGGAATATTATTTCAATAGTGCAGTTGGGGAGTGGGGGTGGGGATAAGGAAGGCCGTAAGAGTTTTGTCAGATTTCCCCTCTTCTTCAATATCATTGGCATCCTTCAGTCTCAAGAGACTATGGTATCGTGCGCTGGAAAGAGGTCCTAAAACAGCATCTAGTGTGACTAAAAAGGCCAATTCGAGAGTGGCAATCCCTTCCACACTGAGGGCAGATACATTCTGTCCCCTGCCCAGCTCCCAGATTTCGCTGGTTCCGGAACTGCCTCTTTGCCTCAGCTTGCCAAATAAATGTCTCTTCGAATTGGAGAAGGCCATGCTGCGTCTTTAGCCTCCAAGCTGAACGATCGGAGGTCAACGTTTCCCAGTTGCTAATGTCCATTCCCAGGGCCTTTAGGTCCCTCTTGCAGATATCCTTATATCGCAGCTGTGGTCTCCCTCCGAGGCGCTTTCCCTGCACTAATTCTCCATACAGGAGATCTTTCAGAATCTGACCATCAGCCATTTTCACGACATGCCCCAGCCAGCGTAGACGTCGCTGTTTCAATAGTGTATACATGCTAGAAATTCCAGCACGTTCCAAGACTGCGCTATTTGGAACTTTGTCTTGCCAGGTGATGCCAAGAATACGTCAGAGACAGCGCATATGAAAGGAGTTCAACTTTCTCTCCTGCCGTGCATAAAAGATCCAAGACTCACTGCAGTACAAGAGTGTACTCAAGACGTAGGCTCTGTAGACCTGCATCTTTGTAAGTTCCGTCAGCTTCCTATTAAACCAATTCAATATGAGAACAGCTAATATAGGAAGTGCCAGGTTCCTTTCTTCCCTCTTTGTGAAGATCGGAAGCTAGTACTTAACATTTTCAAGGTGGACAATGGAAAGATTTCAAAATGGTTCCTATCTTTTTTAAACACCCAAAACTATAGCATAACCCCTATACCCCAATTGCAGGGGTGGGATTCTACTGGTTTGAGTGAACTCGTAGCTCCGACGATCACCTGGTCCCGCCTGCCCACTCCTGCGCTTTACTTACCTTTATCTTCGCAGTGCGGCAGAGCAGATTGCCATGCCTCAGCTGTTTTACTTCCCTAGCACTAACGCGGAAGGTGATTTTTTAATTGAACTGTGCACACGCACGCAGCGCGCGAAGTGCACGATCACCGAACCGGTTGTTAAACCGAAAGGATCCCACCACTGCCCAATTGGCCAATATCCCAATATATAGGGACTTCAACTCTGGAATTTCCCAGCCAACACAGGGGTGAAATGCTCCCAGTTCGGACCGGATCACCCAATCCGGTAGCGATGGAGGCGGGTGGTTCGGAGAACTGGTAGCAAAAATCCCTGCCCCTCCCCATGCCTAGCTGAGCTGTGCGATCATCAGAGGCTTTTTTTCTTTTAAATGCCTCTGACGATCCAAGCTGAGTTGCCTGATCGGCAGAGGCATTTAAAAGAAAAAAAGCCTCTGACGATCAGGCAACTCAGCTTGGATCGTCAGAGGCATTTAAAAGAAAAAAAGCCTCTGACGATCAAGCAACTCAGTGGGATCATCAGAGGCATTTATGCCTCTGACAATCCAAGCTGAGTTGCCTGATCGGTAGAGGCATTTAAAAGAAAAAAAGCCTCTGACGATCAGGCAACTCAGCTTGGATCGTCAGAGGCATTTAAAAGAAAAAAAGCCTCTGATGATCAAGCAACTCAGCTGGGATCATCAGAGGCATTTATGCCTCTGACAATCCAAGCTGAGTTGCCTGATCGTCAAGCTGAGTTTGACGATCCAAGCTGATGATCCAAGACGATGCCTGACGATCCAAGCTGAGTTGCCTGATCGGCAGAGGCATTTAAAGGAAAAAAAAGCCTCTGACGATCAGGCAACTCAGCTGGGATCGTCAGAGCCTTTCGAAAGCATTTTTTTTACAACCTCTTCGCCGAAGAGGTTGTAGAAAAAATGGTTTTAAAAGTTTTTTTTTAATGGCCACGCCCACCCAGTCACATTACCCCCACCACCACAACCAAGCCACGCCCACAGAACCAGTAGTAACAAATTTTAGATTTCACCACTGAGCCAACATGGAGATTGCTGAGAATTCTAGAAGTGGATGTACATATATGGAGACTATTTTTTTTTTAATTGTCACAAGCTTTAAAATATATTTTGAATGGTTCAAAAAGGAGGAACAAAGTGATCCCAAACCAAAACGGAAAACCTTTGCTCTATCTGTGTGTAGTTCTGTCCTCCCACTTTCCTCCTTGATTTCCCCA